GTTGGCACAGAGGGATTCCTCACCTCATTAAACCTACTTATCACCGTGGATGAAAAATACATTCATCCTGATGTCTGGTCAAGAGAAAGAAATTGGGGAAGACTTCAGGTCCCTTCGATACACATAAAGTTTAAAACCCCTAGGAAAATAGTAAGAAGAAAGCACTATCCCATTCCCCTAGCGGGCAGAATAGGCTTGAAGCCCATAATTGAAGGTCTCATTCAGGACGGGCTCTTTGAACCCTGTTTGTCCCCTTATAACACCCCAATACTGCCTGTAAAGAAATCAGATGGGTCATATCAACTAGTACCTGACCTCAGAGCTATTAGCCAAATAGTCCAAACTACTCATCCCATTGTCCTAATCGTTGCACCATCCTCAGCAAAATCCCATGTGACCATCAATGGTTTACAGTAATAGACTTAAAAGATACCTTCTGGGCATGCCCCTTGGCTGAAAACAGCCAGGACATAATTGCTTTCGAATGGGAAGATCCTCGTTCTGGATGGAAGCAATAGTACCCATGGACAGTTTTGTCCCAAGAGTTCACAGATTCCCCTAACCTCTTTGGCCAAATTTTAGAACAGGTTCTAGAATGGATTTCTACCCCCAAACACATATGTTTGCTCTATTATGTAAATGATCTTCTTATGACTGGTGAGGCTGTAGAACAAGTGACTGATTTTTCCATCCATGTCCTTAACTGTTTGCAAGGAGGAGGGTTATGAGTTTCAAAGGGAAAGCTTCAATTTGTAGATCCAGAAGTGAAGTACTTGGGATACTTAATAAGTAAAGGCAAATGAAGGATAGGGCCTGAACAAGTTGAAGGAATCATGTCATTGCCTTTGCCTAAGAAAATTTCTAGGATTAGTTGGGTATTGTTGCTTATGAATTGACTTATACACCCTAAGGATAAAGCCTTTCTACCTAAAGCTTACCCAAGAAAAGCCTAACCTTCTGCAGAATTCTGAAGAAATACACCAGGTTGAAGAACTTAAACATCAACTTGTAACTTGCCCTGTTCTAGCCTTACTTTCCCTAGAGAAAGCATTTCACTTTGTCGTTAATGTGAACGAGGGGGTAGCTCTAGGAGCACTTACCCAGGAACACTGGGGGCATCGGCAACCTGTAGCCTTCCTATCAAAAGTTTTAGATCCACTAACCTTTGGATGGCCCGAATGTGTTCAATACATTGCAGCTACCACCATGTTAACTGAAGAAAGTAGGAAGTAACCTTTGGAGGAAACTTAATTGTGAGCACACCCCATCAAGTTACAACTATCTAGAACCAAAAAGCAGGGAGATGGCTCACCGACTCAAGAATTTTTAAGTATCTAGCTATCTTATTAAAAAGAGATGACTTAACATTAACCACTGACAATTCACTTAACCCAGCAGGTTTCCCAACAGGGAACCCAAATCAAAAAGGGCCAGAACATAAGTGTTTAGATCTAATTAATTCTCACACACAAGTCAGGCCTGATTTAAGGCCCCTTTCAAAACGGGACAAGACCTAATCCTAGATGGCTCTTCTCGAGTGATTGAAGGAAAAGGCATAACGGACATTCAGTAATTGATGGTGAAGCTCTCGCAGAGATAGAGTCGGGAAGATTGCCTAATAATTGGTCCGCTCAAACATGTGAATTGTTTGCACTAAATCAAGCTGTAAAGCACTTGCAAAATCCAGAAGGGACAATTTATGCTGATTCCAAATATGCCTTTGGAGTAGCTCATACCTTTAGGAAAATTTCAGACTGAACAAGGTCTTATTAATAGTAAAGGCCAAGACCTGGTCCACAAAGGTATAATCATCAAAGTATTAGATAATCTCCAGCTGCCAGAAGAAATCGCTATTGTCCATGTTCCAGGACACCAAAAAAAGACCTCCTTTGAAAGCTCAGGGAATAACCTTGCAGATCAAATAGCCAAACAGGCTGCTGTTTCTTCTCAAATGCCTGTTTTTCTCTTAACCCCTTGCCTTCCTCCCCCAACTGCAGTTCCTATCTTTTCTTCTGCTGAAAAGGAGAAATTAATAAAAATAGGGGCCAAAGAAAATTTATGCATGGTGGTGCATGCCTGTAATCCCAGCTACTGGGGAGGCTGAGGTGGGAGAATTGCTTGAGCCTTGGAGGTGGAGGTTGCAGTGAGCCAAGATCATGCCATTGCACTCCAGCCTGGGCAACAGAGCAAGACTCCATCTCAAAAAAAAAAAAAAAAAAAGGCCCCTTCTTTAGCCACAAAGACAAAAACAAGGACCCTTGTCCTGATGGAAGTTCTAATGAAGAAGAATAAGCATTGTCAAATGTAGGTGTGTGCCTTTGGACTTGGGCTGCTTTATCTCTGGCCATATATACAACATAGAGTAGGGGTCAACCTTGACATGACAGTTCATGACTCCCATGGCCTTAGTGCATTGACATCTTACAGAAATCAACAACAAAGTCCAGTGCTTTCTTCTTTTATGTTAAATGCAGCAGAGTGGATGTCAGAGCATACCTCTATTTGTGTACTATTCTGGATATAGTTTATAAGGCAATTAAGTTTATACACGTAGGCCGGGCGCGGTGGCTCAAGCCTGTAATCCCAGCACTTTGGGAGGCCGAGGCGGGCGGATCACAAGGTCAGGAGATCGAGACCACAGTGAAACCCCGTCTCTACTAAAAATACAAAAAATTAGCCGGGCGCGGTGGCGGGCGCCTGTAGTCCCAGCTACTCAGGAGGCTGAGGCAGGAGAATGGCGGGAACCCGGGAGGCGGAGCTTGCAGTGAGCCGAGATCGCGCCACTGCACTCCAGCCTGGGCAACAGCGTGAGACTCCGTCTCAAAAAAAAAAAAAAAAAAAAAAAAAAAAAAAAAAAAAAGTTTATACACGTATGAAAGTTTCTTTCTATATTACTGTTAGTACCAGTATTTATCAATACTTCCATATTCATTCTACATCTTTATTCTCTATAAATATAAATAAAAATATTGATATATTGGTGTATATATACACACATAGGTAAATATTTTTTTTTTTTTTTTTTTTGAGATGGAGTTTCACTCTTGTTGCCCAGGCTGGAGTGCAATGGTGCAGTTTGGGTCAGTGTAACCTCCGCCTCCTGGGTTCAAGCACTTCTCCTGCCTCAGCCTCCCAAGTAACTGGGATCACAGGTCTGTGCAACCATACCTGACTAATTTTCATATTTTCAGTAGAGACAGGGTTTCTCCATATTGGTCAGGCTGGTCTTGAACTCTCCGCCTCAGGTGATCCACCCACCTTGGCCTCCCAAATTGCTGGGATTACAGGCATGAGCCACTGCACCTGGCCAGGTAAATAGATTTTTTTAAACTTACATACAGGATGAGTATGTCTATGTAAATATGTATACAAGAAATATTCCCCAAAAGACCATTTTCAATCACTTGGCATATACACATTATGCAGGTATGTAATTACTTCCAATCTCTTTTACTCAATAGCATTTCAGAATGAAACATATTTGTACAATATTGTTTGTATAAACAAAATAACCTTCACCTTCAGTAGCATAGGCCTCAGAAATGAGCTGACAGCAAAGCCACATTATACATGCTGTTCAGGTGTGCATTTCAGCATCCTGCATTCCTTCTCGATGTATGTATGTGCTCTTCACATCCACTAGTTTGGGCCTGCTTTGTTAAATCTGTAGTCACTACTTAGATAATTGGCTGATTAAATGTACCTAGGCTAAGAAAATTGGCTGATTGGAATCACCTTGGGCTAATCTAGTTGGGTAATTCGATTCACCTATGGTGATATAATTGCCTAATTGGTATCACTTGGGCTAATTTAATTGGCTGATTGGAATCACTTGGGCTGAGCTAACTGGCTGACTAGAATCACATGGGCTGAGTTCATTGAATTTCTGTGTCTTGAGGCGAATGAGTAAGGTAATGACCTCTTACATACTTTTCTTTGGGGCCTTTTTTTCAATACATACTCACAAATGGACATTAATTAGACATGTGTATAAGCCTTTGTGTTTGTATATGTTTCTGTATATACATGTCTTATATGTTTCTAAATCTACAGAGTAAAGTGCCTGGCCAGGTGTGGTGGCTCACGCCTGTAATTCCCAACACTTTGGAAGGCAGAGGTGGGTGGATCACGTGAGGTCAGCAGTTCGAGACCAACATATTTGTGCTACACATGCTCACAGGCACGTAGTACACCCTATATCCTTGTACTTTAATCAGGATATCTGTGCTGCATGTGCTTACAGTCATGTCCCAGCTCACAGGCTATGCCCCTTCCTTATTTGGGAATATTATTACTTTTCTAAGTCTTTTCATAAGGAACTTCCTCTTTTCCTTTGTTCTCCATTGCTTTTACCTATTTAGAAAAGTTTTAAGTTGTTAGCCAATCAGGTTCAGTTTAAATTGTGAGGTCTGGCTCCAGGCAATGGAGACAAGTAGCAGGGACAAGCTGCTTAAGGGATAAAAATTACTTTCCTCCTTTATTCAGCTGTGCTCTTGCCACTATCCCATCTGCAAGGAGCAGCCTTGTGCAGAATGTAAATTTGCCTTGCTTAGAAAGCTTTTGTCTGAATCCTGATTTTTCCTTGTGGTACTGAGGAACAAGCATTCTATTTCTGAATAAACATTTTACTTTTTTTTTTTTTTTTTTTTTTGAGACGGAGTCTCGCTGTGTCGTCCAGGCTGGAGTGCAGTGGCCGGATCTCAGCTCACTGCAAGCTCTGCCTCCCGGGTTTTTACGCCATTCTCCTGCCTCAGCCTCCCGAGTAGCCGGGACTACAGGCGCCCGCCACCTCACCCGGCTAGTTTTTTGTATTTTTTAGTAGAGACGGGCTTTCACCGTGTTAGCCAGGGTGGTCTCGATCTCCTGACCTCGTGATCCGCCCGTCTCGGCCTCCCAAAGTGCTGGGATTACAGGCTTGAGCCACCGCGCCCGGCCTTAAACATTTTACTTATAACAAAATGGTGGCCCATATGGAGAGCCATTCTCCTCCGGGGGGTCTCCAGTCCTCTCTCATGAGGAGGCACCCCACTGCCTCCTTGCAGGAGCCTCGGGGGTAAGGAATCAAGATCTACTCAGTGTGACAAATAAACCCGACTCTCAGCAATGCAGGAAGAAACCAGCCAGTGACCTGGAGTAAAGACCCTCATATACCACATGGACCAGGCAACCTCATGCATGAACCAAGGAAGGAAATGCCAGAGGAGCCGGTAAAGTATTTCCTTGGTGGTCAGGACTAAGAAAAGAAAAGCAGCGGGGCGGTGAAGCATTCCTTGGTTAGGACATACCAAGGAAAGAGGAGCCACAGGGGCAGTAAGGCATTCCTTAGTTGGGAGTAAGGGAAGAAAAGCCACTGGGAGTGATGAAGTATTCCTTAGTCGGGATGTCTTAGAGGTTACAAAAAGGTGAAAAATTCCCATTAGGGGGAGACTGAACCTCACACACTCCTCTGGCAGTAGGAAAAATAGTCAGAACTTCCCTTTCCCCTCTTCTCAGCGGAAGAAAGAAGCTAAGCTCCACTCCTACTGGCCGCTCCCTAGGGGCAGGAGAAGGAGAGGGGAGAACAGCAGTGTAGGTGGCTGGCAGAGGCAGGGAAAGACCAGCAGAGAGGAAAGAGAAACTGAGAAAAGTCAGAGAGAAAGAGAGAGCAGCAAGCACAGCTCCACATTGTTGCAGATCGCTGGCACCCAGCAGAGTGGCGGCTGGAACGCTCTCCTCGAACGTGGCCATGCAGCCAGAGCCACTCAGGCCACCGGCCGCCAAGCTCCAAACCTTCCATGCCACTCGGGCGTGTCTTGCCACCCTCGGAGGACGGCAGGCCATGGACACCTGTAAGTTGGAGCTGAGCAGAAGAGTGTGAGGGCGTCAGGGCCAGGAGCCTGTGCCACCCAGCCAGGCAGCCAGTTGCCCGGGAGGGGGGGGGGGGGGGCGTGTGGATTGCTCTCCCCAGCCTGGCTCTGCATAGAAGAAGAGCGCAGGGACTGGCGCTGGGAAGAGAGCAGAGGAGGAGAAGTTCCATGACTCGTGCAACTTGCTGCGGGCATCTGCTGAGTCTCTTGGCCGGCGGCGCCCCAGGGCCTGGACTGCAGCCACCTGGATCCCATCCAGCCCAAGAGACTAGGTGGGGAGAGAAGCAAGAGGGGATGACAGAGAGAGAAAGACAAAGTGCAAATGAGAGAGAGAAACGGAGAGGGAGAAAGAGAGAGAGACTGGAAGAGACAGAGATCAGAGAAAGAAACAGAGGGTGAGACCAGGGAGAGAAATACTGTAAAAGGAAGTCAGAAAGTTGAGGCATGTCAAAGATTGTCTGTGAAAGTCATAAAAAAATTATTTAACAAGAATGTATACAGGAAATATTGTATAATTTAAAAGTAATTAGCCCTCCTGAATATAAAACTATTAAAGGAACAGTTTATATGCAAGGTATGTAAGGAAATTAAAATATACTTTTAGGAAAAGGATAAGAAAGGTGGTAAAGAAAATTCAGAAGGAAAAATGAATAATACTAAAGCAATGAGAAATGTTATCCAAATCCCTTATAAAAGAAATCTTGTTCCAACTGCATCAAGGAACCCAGGCCAGCCCAAAGTTAATGCCAACAAATTTCCACCTCCAGCGGCTCCTAGAGAGGCCGCGGCATGAGGCGGCAGGGGGACCTAGCTGTGGACAGACACTTCCTGTGCTGGGGAGGGCGCTGGGCAACCAATGGACAGCGCAAACTAGCCAGAGGCCAGGGGCCAGATGGTGGGGGCTCAGGCAGGAGCAACCTCCAGGGACAACTGGGCCAGTTCCAGAGCCCCTCATTCCCAAGGCGGGGATGCACAGGAATGGTGAGGGCCACAGTGAGTCTGAAACCCTGAGAGGGTGCAAGGACGCCATGTCTCCCGGGTGGCGCTAAGCGAGTGTGGACGGCAAGCCACCCAGGTGCGGAGGCAAGAGACCGAAGGCACAAGCTGTTCCAGTATAATAAAGAAAATACTTAAAATAAGAATAGTTATGTTAGACATAGAATATAGATATGATTATACATGAATATTACTAATCATTAGTTTATAGCATTACTCTTTATTCCAATATTATAATAATCTTTGTTCTACTGTTGTAACCTAGGAAGAAGAGTGTGAGCGCTCTGTCATGCCCGGACAGGGCCACTAGAGGGCTCCTTGGTCTAGCGGTAACGCCGGTGCCTGGGAAGGCACCCATTACTTAGCCTACGGGGAGAGGGAGTCTCCCTTCTCCCCGCCCCAGGGAGTTAGAGAAGAGTCTGCGCCACTGCCTCTTGTGGAAGGCCTGACATCAGTCAGGCCCGCCGGCAACCATCCGGAGACCTAACCATCTCCCTGTGATGCTGTGCTTCAGCGGTCATGCTCCTGGTCTGCTTTCATGTTCCGCCCTGCACACCTGGCTCCGCCTTCTAGATAGCAGTAGCAGAATTAGTGAAAGCACTAAAGTCTTTGAAATGCAGGGAAGAAATAATGACGTAAGCTGTTCTCTCTCTCCACCACGGCTACCATACAGGGAAGGGCCCCCTGTCCGGTGTGCACATGACTCGCGTGACCTTACCTATCACTGGAGATGGCTCACACTCCTTACCCTGTCCCCTTGCCTTGTATCCAATAAATAACAGGGCAGTCAGGCATTCGGGGCCACTACTCGTCTCCGCGACTTGGTGGTCGTGGTCCCCCGGGGTCCAGCTGTCTTTTCTTCTATCTTTGTCTTGTGTCTTTATTTACAAGATCTCTTGTCTCCGCACATGAAAAGAAAAACCCACAGGCCCTGTAGGACCCTATAGCAGGATCTTCCACGTTCCCTTTTCTCAGAACTAAAAGTCTTTTAGCACAGGCACCACCCCTAGAGTGTCCAGCACACCAACATCAGCCTGGAGACCACGTCCTCATCAAATGATAGAAAAAAGGAAAACTTGAGACAGCCTAGGAAGGCCCCTACCTCATGCTGCTACCCACCGAGACTGCCGTTTGCACAGCAGAAAAAGGATGGACACGTCACACCCAAGTCAAAAAAGCATCATCATGTTCAAAATCATGGGCCATTGTTCCAGGTGAAGCCCTACCATATTAAAGCTAAGAAAAACTTAATCTATCTACCTTATCTTCCTTTAATTACCCCCCATCTTTTTTTTTTCAACTTTTTTTTTATTATTATGCTTTAAGTTCTGGGGTACATGTGCAGAATATGCAGTTCTGTTACAGTTATACACGTGCCATAGTGGTTTGCTGCACCCATCAACCTGTCATCTACATTAGGTATTTCTCCTAATGCTATCCCTTCCCTAGTCCCCCACCCCTCGACAGGCCCCAGTGTGTGATGTTCCCCACCCTGTGTCCGTGTGTTCTCATTGTACAACTCCCATTTATGAGTGAGAACATGTGGTGTTTGGTTTTCTGTTCTTGTGTTGGTTTGCTGAGAATGATGGTTTCCAGCTTCATCCATGTCTCTGCAAAGGACATGAACTCATCCTTTTTTATGGCTGCATGGTATTCCACAGTGTATGTATGCCACATTTTCTTTATCCAGTCTATCATTGATGGACATTTGGGTTGGTTCTAAGTCTTTGATATTGTGAATAGTGCTGCAATAAAAATATGTGTGCATGGGCCGGGTGCGGTGGCTCATGCCTGTAATCCCAGCACTTTGGGAGGCCAAGGCAGGTGGATCACGAAGTCAGGAGATCAAGACCATCTTGGCTAACATGGTTAAACTCCATCTCTACTAAAAATACAAAAATTAGCTGGGCATGGTGGTGGGCACCTGTAGTGCCAGCTACTGGGAGGCTGAGGAAGGAGAATGGCATGAACCTGGGATGTGGAGTTTGCAGTGAGCTGAGACCATGCCACTGCACTCCAGCCTGGGCATCAGAGCGAGACTCCATATCAAAAAAAAAAGTGTGCATGTGTCTTTATAGTCAAATGATTTATAATCCTTTGGGTATATATCCAGTAATGGGATTACTGGGTCAAATGGTATTTCTAGTTCTAGATCCTTGAGGAATTGTCACACTGTCTTTCACAATGGTTGAACTAATTTACGCACCCACCAACAGTGTAAAAGCATTCCTATTTCTCCACATCCTCTCCAGCATCTGTTTCCTGATTTTTTAATGACTGCCATTCTCACTGGTGTGAGATGGTAACTCATTGTGGTTTTGATTTGCATTTTCTCTAATGACCAGTGATGATGAGCATTTTTTCATGTGTTTGTTGGCCACATAAATGTCTTCTTTTGAGAAGTGTCTGTTCGTATTCTTTGCCCACTTTTTGATGGGGTTGTTCGTTTTTTCCTTGTAAATTTGTTTAAGTTCTTTGTAGATTCTGGATATTAACCCTTTGTCAGAAGAATAAATGCAAAAATTTTCTCCTATTCTGTAGGTTTCCTGTTCACTCTGATGATACTTTCTTTTGCTCTGCAGAAGCTCTTTAGTTTAATTAGATCCCATTTGTCAATTTTGGCTTTTGTTGTGTTGCTTTTGGTGTTTTAGACATGAAGTCTTTGCACATGCCTATGTCCTGAATGGTATTGCCTAGGTTTTCTTCTAGGGTTTTTATGGTCTTAGGTCTTACATTTAAGTCTTTAATCCATCTTGAGTTAATTTTTTTTTTTTTTTTTTTGAGGCGGAGTCTCGCTCTGTCGCCCAGGCTGGAGTGCAGTGGCCGGATCTCGGCTCACTGCAAGCTCCGCCTCCCGGATTTACGCCATTCTCCTGCCTCAGCCTCCCGAGTAGCTGGGACTACAGGCGCCCGCCACCTCGCCCGGCTAGTTTTTTGTATTTTTCAGTAGAGACGGGGTTTCACTGTGTTAGCCAGGATGGTCTCGATCTCCTGACCTCGTGATCCGCCCGTCTTGGCCTCCCAAAGTGCTGGGATTACAGGCTTGAGCCACCGCACCCGGCCGAGTTAATTTTTGTATAAAGTGTAAGGAAGGGGTCCAGTTTCAGTTTTCTGTATATGGCTAGCCAGTTTTCCCAATGCCATTTATTAAATAGGGAGTCCTTTCCACATTGGTTGTTTGTGTCAGGTTTGTCAAAGATCAGATGGTTGTAGTTGTGTGGTGTTATTTCTGAGGCCTCTGTTCTGTTCCATTGGTCTATATATCTGTTTTGGTACCAGTACCATGCTGTTTTGATTACTGTAGACTTTTAGTATAGTTTGAAGTCAGGTAGCATGATGCCTCCAGCTTTGTTCTTTTTGATTAGGATTGTCTTGGCTATGCGGGCTCTGTCCTGGTTCCATAGGAAGTTTAAAGTAGTTTTTCCAGTTCTGTGAAGAAAGTCATTGGTAACTTGATGGTGATAGCATTAAATCTATAAATTACTTTGGGTGGTATGGCCATTTTCATGATATTGATTCTTCCTGTCCATGAGCATGGAATGTTTTTCAATTGTTTGTGTCCTGTCTTATTTTCTTGAGCAGTGGTTTGTAGTTCTTCTTGAAGAGGTCCTTCACATCCCTTGTAAGGTGTATTCCTAGGTATTTTATTCCCTTTGTAGCAGTTGTGAATGGGAGTTCACTCATGATTTGGCTGTCTTTGTTGTTATTGGTATATAGGAATGCTTGTGATTTTTGCACATTGATTTTGTATCTTGAGACTTCGCTGAAGTTGCTTATCAGCTTAAGGAGATTTTGGGCTGAGACGATGGGGTTTTCTAAATATACAGTCATGAAATAGAGACAATTTGACTTCCTCTTTTCCTAATTAAATACCCTTTATTTCTTTCTCTTGCCTGATTGTCCTGGTCAGAACTTCCAATACTATGTTGAATAGGAGTGGTGAGAGAGGGCATCCTTGTCTTGTGCCGGTTTTCAAAGGGAATGCTTCCAGTTTTTGCTTATTCAGTATGATATTGGCTGTGCATTTGTCATAAATAGCTATTATTATTTTGAGATACATTCCATCGATACATAGTTTATTGAGAGCTTTTAGCAGGAAAGGGTGTTGAATTTTGTCAAAGGCCTTTTCTGCATCTGTTGAGAATATCATGTGGTTTTTGTCATTGGTTCTGCTTATGTGATGAATTACATTTATTGATTTGTATATGTTGAACCAGCCTTGCATCTGAGGGATCAAGCCGACTTGATCTTGCTGGATAAACTTTTTGATGTGCTGCTGGATTCGCTTTGCCAGTATTTTATTGAGGATTTTTGCGATGTTCATCAGGGATATTGGCCTGAAATTTTGTGGGTTTTTTTGTTGTGTCTCTGCCAGGTTTTGGTATCAGGATGATGCCGGCCTCATAAAATGAGTTAGGGAGGATTCCCTCTTTTTCTATTGTTTGGAATATTTTAATGAGAAATGGTACCAACTCCTCTTTTTACCTCTGGTAAAATTCGACTGTGAATCTGTCTGGTCCTGGACTTTTTTTGGTTGGTAGGCTATTAATTACTGCCTCAATTTCTGAACTTGTTATTGGTCTATTCAGGGATTTGACTTCTTCTTGGTTTAGTCTTGGGAGAGTGTATGTGTCCAGGAATTTATCCATTTCTTCTAGATTTTCTAGTTTATTTGCATAGAGGTGTTTATAGTATTCTCTGATGGTGGTTTGTATTTCTGTGGAATCAGTGGTGATATCCCCTTTATCATTTTTTATTGTGTCTATTTCATTCTTCTCTCTTTTCTTCTGTATTAATCTGGCTAGCAGTCTATCTATTTCGTTTATCTTTTCAAAAAAACCAGCTCCTGGATTCACTGATTTTTTGAAGAGTTTTCGTGTCTCTATCTCCTTCAGTTCTGCTCTGATCTTAGTTATTTCTTGTCTTCTGCTAGCTTTTGAATTTGTTTCCTCTTGCTTCTCTAGTTCTTTTAATTTTGATGTTGGGTTGTGATTTTAGATCTTTCCTGCTTTCTCTTGTGGATATTTAGTGCTGTAAATTTTCCTCTACACACTGCTTTAAATGTGCCCCAGAGATTCTGGTACGTTGCGTCTTTGTTCGCATTGGTTTCAAAGAACATCTTTATTTCTGCCTTCATTTCATTATGTACCCAGTAGTCGTCCAGGGGCAGGTTGTTCAGTTTCCATGTAGTTGTGCGGTTTTGAATGAGCTTCTTAATCTTGAGCTCTAATTTGATTGCACTGTGACCTGAGAGACTGTTATGATTTCCATTCTTTCCCATTTGCTGAGCAGTGTTTTACTTCCAATTATGTGGTCAATTTTAGAATAAGTGTGATGTGGTGGTGAGAAGAATGTATATTCTGTTGATTTAGGGTGGAGAGTTCTGTAGATGTCTTTTAGATCCACTTGATCCAGAGCTGAGTTCAAATCCTGAATATCCTTGTTAATTTTCTGTTTCATTGTTCTGTGTAATATTGACAGTGGGGTGTTAAAGTCTCCCACTGTTATTGTGTAGGAGCCTAAGTCTCTTTGTAGGTCTCTAAGAACTTGCTTTATGAATCTGGGTGCTCCTGTATTGGGTCCATATATATTTAGGATTATTAGCTCTTCTTGATGCCTCAATCCCGTTACCATTATGTAATGCCCTTCTTTGTCTCTTTTAATCTTTGTTGGTTTAAAGTCTGTTTTATCAGAGATTAGGGTGCACTCCTGCTTTTTTTTTTTTTTTTCACTTTCCATTTGCTTGGTAAGTATTCCTCTATCCCTTTATTTTGAGCCTATGTGTGTTTTTGCATGTGAAAAGAATCTCCTTAATACAGCACACTGATGGGTCTTGACTATCTAATTTGTCAGTCTGTGTCTTTTAATTGGGGTATTTAGCCCATTTACCTTTAAGGTTAATAATGTTATGTGTAAATTTGATCCTGTCATTATGATGCTAGCTGGTTATTTTGCCCATTAGTTGACGCAGTTTCTTCATAGTGTTGATATTCTTTACAATTTGGTATGTTTTTGCAGTGGCTGGTACCAGTTGTTCCTTTCCATGTTTAGTGCTTCCTTCAGGATCTCTTTTAAGGCAGGCCTGGTGGTGACAAAATCTCTCAGAATTTGCTTGTCTGTAAAGTATTTTATTTCTCCTTCTCTTATGAAACTTAGTTTTACTGGATACAAAATTCTGGGTTGAAAATTCTTTAAGAATCTTGAATATTGGACCCCATTCTCTTCTAGCTCGTAAGGTTTCTACAGAGAGA